GTCAACGTATTTCATTTATAGAATTAACACTGTAACTGAAGGGTGGACTATAGAAAATGCTGGTTTAAAGTAGACTCATGACGGTACTTCAAATCATTACAGATCCAAATCACAAGGATAGTTTTGGACTAGTTCTCGCTTCAGTGTAGATTTTTTTTCCTTGTGTACAGGGTTGTGTCCTCTGCATCAATGTTTAGAAACAAAAAAACAGAGTCAGAAGGGGTCTCCCGGGCCATCTAGTCTGACCTCCAGCACCAGCCAGCTCCGCTCACGACATGCCCACCATGTGCATGTCCAGCCTCTTTGTTTGTTGGAGTTCTCTTCATTTGTTACTCTGTGGTGTGATCGTAGGAATACTCTATAGCTTATATTCCAGGGCACATGCTTTGTCTGCAGAAGGTCCCAGTTTCAATTCCCAGATTCTTCAGGCAGGGCTTGGAAAGAATACCAGCTGAAACTTTTGAAAGACTCCATTGAACAGTGGTGACAGCTGACAGCTAAAAAAGTGATCTCAATTGTGTGTCTCACCTGTCCCACCACCAAAAAATAAAAATAAAAGGATAACATGACAGTGGCTCCAAAATGCACCTTGGCAAGTGGAAGAGTGGCTGCCTCGGGCGGTGCCACGAGAAATAAGAAATCAAGGATGAATGGAAGTAGGGTCATGACTGGAGCAGAGGGGCAGATAACAGCAGAGAGCAGCAGGCTCCTGGGATACTAGTTGGAGGACTGAGGTGAAGAAGGGCAGAACAACCCACAACAAGCACAATTATCTCTTGTGTGCACCATGGAATAACCCACACAGTGTAACTCATTCATAGGGTGGGTTGTTGTGCTGGGTGAACACTGCTGCACAAACAATGCTCATGGCAAGCTTGATAAATAGTAACCTGCAGAATATTTTTGGCAGGGTAGTTACATTACTTACCTTGGTGATGGCACTTGAACAGTAATACAGTATTCAAATCATAAGAGCATACAGTTAAATTAGAATGCTTTGGAGTAAAAACATATTGTTCCAAGTTGAACTGTTATCCAGTCATTGTAAGCTGCTGATAGCAAACTATCTAGTGTATAATGTATATGCAGTCATGACTGATAGAATAGAGAACTGAAAGTAATTTGTCGTTATTAGAATGGATTGCTTCTGCTGTCTGCCCAATACACTACTGTTTTTGACTCTTGAACAGATAAATTATGCTTTGTCTAATTGTGCTGAATTGAGTATTTGGGTGTATTCATGTGTGCCATGAATTACACCATTACATTCTGACAAATGATTGTTTTCCATGCAGGAGACCTGTCTGTCTGTACAAAATCATTGTATAGATTTGATGGAGATGTTTATAACAGCTAGAAAAAGAAAACAGTTCTCAGAAATCAGGGGCAGGCATTCCCTATATTATCATTCTTCCATGCTTGTGTGAGACTCCAACTGGAATTCGCAAAATCATTTGTTAGCCTGAAAATTCTGTTAATAATTTCCAAGATGCCATGGCTAGTTATCCCCAGTGAGTTCTTGTGTCCTGAGAAACCTGTCCATGGTAATTCCTACTGGTGGTCCACCAGCATATTCATAAGATCTCTCTCCTCAAGTATAAATCTCTAGTAAAAGTCACATTTCCCCCTTTTTCCATTAACTCTTGTAGTCCTTCAGTCAAAACAGAACAGTATACCTCCAAAAAAGGCAAATCTTTCATAGGTCATTAAAATCTGAATATGTAATTTTTACCTGTATTAGGAATTTATGAAGACAGATTTAGTGGTTAATTCATCTGGAGATCAAGCCTACTATAAGAAAACTATTCATGATAATTATTGATCTGGAAAGTAACTATCACAGGATAATTAATCTGTATTACAATAATGTGATACTGAGTCAAACCATTAAAGTTACTAATCATATATAAATGTCTGTCCTCTATTTCCAATTCTTCTTAGACTTGGTTGCTTCATTCTTCACTGGAATATTGTTTAATTCCCTTTTCTTTCTCACATTTGTAATATTTTATGTATACAACCTCTTTGTTTATGGTTTATGGATTTAATAATTCTGACCATTCTTGATGCCAGGTAAGGCAGCAAGTGGGTGCACATGAATTGTAGCTGCAAGGTAGAAAGTCATTAAGGTGGCATATAAATACATTCATGTCCCAAATTCATATGATCTTTCTACTGTGCATCACAACATACAAATTAGGCTTATATGTTCCTGTCACTGAAACAAATATACAGTAGTTACCATGTGCACTGTGTCCCCAGCCAATGAGGATTGTTATTTTACTCTATATTAAGTGGGCAGTGCTCAATTTTTATTGGAGCCACTCCACTTTGGAGAGAATTAAACTATTCCCCTCATTTTCCTGAAATTCCTCCCCCCATGCAAAGCTTGCGAGAAGGAAGTTTTCTTTGCTGGCATGGGGAAGAGGATAGATTTTAAAAAATAAATCCTCCCCACAATCAAAACTGGTCCTTTGCCTTTTTATTAAGTTAAATAAAAGGATATCCTTGGCTGTATGCTAGATCAAAAGCACAACATGTATTTTGACCCTTAGCATCCAAGAGTTCAGTTGTTCACTAAAATTAAATGGAACTAGTCATTTCACAAATTATTACCTGTGGCTGAGTTCTTGAAATAATTGATAGTGCTGCACTGTGTGGTTTTTTTTTTTTTTTTTTTTTTTTTTTTGGTGACTTCAAATAGAACTTACAGTTACAGTACAGTGAAAAGAATCAGTGCTTCTGCAGCGTATCATTTTCTCTCCTTATGCCATACTATGCAATCTACAATGTATAATTCCACCAGGCCTCTCTTTGCCCTTTCATAAATGGTGTTATTTTGAAGGTTCATTAATTCATACTAATCGGAAGGTACGGGTATACGCACACACACAATTTCCTGTAATTCGGGGTTTCCCAACCCCCACAGCTTAAAGCAAACAGGCAAAAAAGTCAGCAAGCAAAACACTTTAAAACTCCTGTTTTTCAGCTTGCACCAGGACGTTACGGAGCGCTGCAGCAAGGGGCAATACTGCAAAACATCCAACTGTGCATATGAAGGTGCCGTGCATGGACATGCAGGTGTGCCAGATAATAACAGACCAGACTAAGACTGACTTTCTAGTAGTGAAGGCTGAGCTGAACAGATTTTCTTGCTAATCCATAGCAAGTGATCTTATTTGGGGATTAATAGGGGTTGACTATATTGCCTTAACTAATCGGAGCTAATTAACCTTGAACAAAGCACCATGTAGCCTTGTACTCAGAAGTCTCAATGGCTGTAATTGGTTGCATGACATGTTCTCTCTGCTCACCACCCCACCGCCTTTCTTCAGAGAAATGAGTTACAAGGACTCTCACCACTTAAATAAGGTCTGCAAAGAACTTCCACAGGGGCAGGTGCTGCTGAGTGCCAACTGTTGAATTAAAAATTTATGATTTCTGGGTAGGACCTTGGAGAAGGACTAAGATTGGAGATTGGGTTGGAGCCAAAAGAAAACGTTCTGTTTCCTCAACGTCCATGTGTGCACGTGCACTTCCACTAGGATTCCAACTGCTCAGGGCCTGTCTAAAGTTTCAGATGGTGGCCTCTGAACCAGTCACAAAAATCCCTGGGCTGCCAGCCAGCCTATCTAGTCATCATTCCTTAGGTGCATTTTGGGCCCAAATGGCCCTTAATGGAAAACGGTCACTGCCACTTCAGGAAAATGGTGGCAAAAAACTATCTAAATCCACTGAGAAAGGCAGGCAGACTTTTTTTTAAGAAGCTTCTGGCTATTCTACAGTCACTGACAGTTAAAAAAAGTCCCCTGTCCCTCATCAAATCATCAGCAGTTCTCCATACCACATTTCTCTCTTTCCTCTTTCCTTCCTTCACTCCTGAGAATGGTCCAAAACTTTCTGCTGTGAAAGTTCAGCAAGAGGTGCCTTGCATCCTCGTCTCTTCTTGAGAAGGTGGGCCTGCATTCAGCAAGCCAAGGAGAGGCAAAGAAGGTGTTCAGAGAAGTGCTTTTCTGAACCCCTGGTACTGTGTTCAAAGAATGTGTGCTTTCTCCTGCTGGCTCTGTGCCTGCTACCCAGCAGTAGCACCAGCCTTATGCTTCCTAAGGACAGGCCTATGACAGTGCAGTTGCGTGCATGTAGGTTCTTTTCTCACTGATGCTGTACATGGAGCTTCTGGGGGGTGCTCATGGATGCAGGCCTCATGAATATGGTCCTGCTCTACCCCATGGCCAGTCAATTCATGATGGTGGGAGTCATAGGAACACCCCACTGGAAAACTTCTTACTGGCTGAACAGGAAACATATGGGGATCATACTGTCTCTTCCTGCGCACTCATGTGCACATGTAGGATGCTGTTCCTGACCTGGCTTCCTCTGGATGCCTCTCTGCACTCCTTTCTGACATCAGTTGTCAGTCATTCTTTTTCCCATGCCTGGTGGCAAGCAGAAAAGTGTCTCAGTCTGCAATTTGGACAGGAGCACCAGACGGTGTCCACTGCTGCACCTGACTCCTGACATCTCAGTCACAGCATGGGGCAGCCTAGAGTAGGGACTACAGGCCAGAGCTTGCAGAATACCCTGAAGTGACCCAAGGTGCTTGTGCCCTTCCCCGTCACGGTATGCTTTACTCTCAAGAGAAAACAGGGTCAAAACAGTCTAGCAACTATGTGTAATTTTGAGCGTGTGGGCTGCCATGTGCGGGTGCGTTACTGTATAATATCCTAAGTGGGACCACCTTCTGACACAATTCATTGCAGGCTCCAGGTGTGCACTCTTCTGTTCTCTTTGTGCTGGCTGTCTGAGCAATGCATGCATCCACAAGACATTTCTTACCCCTGTGGAAAAGGTCAATTTACAGAAGAAAATTAGTTTTTCCTTTCCTTTCTCTCTCTCTTGTTTTTAGGCACTGGGTATTGCAGGATCATGAGAAGATGAAATACGATCTGAGAGTCTTTTCTTTAACTTTCTTCCCTTTCCCTTTTTCTTTTTCTCTTCAGGGCGTATGACTCATGACACTCCTCTTGGATCATGTGAAAATAAGTATTGTGGACTGGGTAGGCACTGTGTGGTTAACAGAGGAACTGGCCAAGCAGAGTGTACCTGCATGGAACATTGTAAGCCTCACTACAAGCCTGTGTGCGGTTCTGATGGCGAATTCTATGAAAATCACTGTGAGGTGCACAGAGCCGCCTGCCTAAAAAACCAAAAGATTACCATTGTTCACAATGAAGACTGCTTCTTCAAAGGTAAGTGCATCTGAACAATGCTTTGAAGTCTCTAATCAACTCCATATTTTGAATTAAATTCAATTAAAGTGCTAGTAAGAGCTGTGTGATGTGGTGTCAACAAACAGTGAAGAAACTTAATTTGACAAAGCTGGCTTCCCTAGAGAAGCCTCTGGGTGATTATTCATTTTTCTCAATGTTTCTTCTGAAAAGTGATGAATATAGATTAAGTGTGTGACTACAGGGCTGTTGCAACCAAGAATCTGGTGGCCCCGAACTGAAGAGGTGACCACTGCAAAGCTGGAATACAGGCTGCTTCCAAATTAAGCTTTTCTTGTGTCATTGCCATGCCTCATTCCTGGAGTAAGATAAGGAAGCATTGGGTCTTGTTGTTTTCTGCTCATAATCCTGCTGCTTCTCCCATTGCTTTTCTTACTGTAAATACTTGTTAGGGAACAATAAGATGGAATAGTTGCACAAGGCCTTGGACTGGTAGCGCTAAGGGTTTTCCGTCTGGAAGCACCTATAGCAATTCTAAATGTCAGGGGAATTATACATAGGCACATGTTTGCGGGTCACTGCTAAGCAAATGGTTAGCATTCTGGCTACATTGAGTACATAGACTGCCCTATGGTCTCAAGTATTTACAATTTTAAATAAATCATTAAGTAGGTTTCATCAGCTGCTCTATTGATTGCCTCTGCTGTTTTTGTTGTATGATTATTACTTACGCAGTGATTTACATTTCAAGGAATTTTTTGTGAGTAGCTTTACTGGATTTTAGAATCAAAAGGCAGATTGAAATTATTTAAATTAAATAAATTACCAAAATAGGAGCTTCAGGCAATTCTACAGGTATAGAATATCCTACATGTGAAATATTGTTCCTATGGAACTCCCATGTTCATCAGATCAGGATATTGTCTGGCCAGCAAATATCAGACAGATACTAAACAAACCTCTTTCATGACACAAATATGCAGAAAAATTACAAACAGCATCCAGACCCAGACCATATTATTAATTTGTAAATGAGGGCAACCGTGTTAAAAGCCATAAATCACACTAATTAGTTACATCAGTTATTTGGATGATATTCATGCTCTGTAGTCCCAGACTGCACCAATGATACTGTTTTGTGAAATATTTTATTTTTATTTTTATTTATTTATATTGCGATTTATATCCTGCCTTTTTCCTACAAAGGGTTCAAGGCAGCTTACATCATCTCTCCTCCTCAATCTAATCCCCACAACAACAACCCTGTGAGGTAGGTTGGGCTGAGAGTCTATGACTGGCCCAAAGTCACCCAGTTGGCTCCATGGCCGAGCGGGGACTCGAACCCGGATCGCCTGAGTCCCAGTCCCATGCTCTTAACCACTACACCACACTGGCTCAGATTATTGACTTCCATGAGGATCCACACTTCCAAAATAATGAGTTCACACAGTATGACAAACAACCATGCATGATTGCCACAGTTTGTGTTCCTTTACCATGATCCACCCAATAGGCAATCAAGTCATTTCTATATTATCACTGTTCTCCCTGTTCAGTCCTCCCATTGGTGGCATGTATCCCATCTGCCACCATGTCTGATATTTAGTCCCAAGATGCCTATGATTTTCTTTTTCACTGATCTACACAGTTTCCCAGGTGTGTTCTCTTCCTTTCCTCCTCCCTCCCTCCCATCCGTCCATCCTCCCTCCCTCCCTTTTCCCTATGCTGCTCAGCCAAAGCTGCCTGTTAGGAACAGATTTGCCCTTAGAAGCTGCAAATATAACATTTCAACAACAGCCTATAGTTCAGTGACAACCTTTACTCAACCCATGCTCTACCTTTGTGTGTGAGCTACTGTGTTGTCTGAACACAGTGCACATTTCTTTCTAACTTATAAAATTGACTCCTCTTGCAGATATAATATCTGGGCAAAGGGAAATGCCTTTCATTAAAATCATGAATGATAAGCAATATATCTTCCTTCTACCAAATGCACTTGGATTCACTGACTTAGCTTTCCCATGTGTGTGTGTGTTTTACATTGTACTTTTCTTCTAACTAGTGAACTGTTTCCTTCACTCTCAGTCTGGAAGTGGTGTATCCATTTAATTGATTTGTTAAGCGACATGCTCTTGGTAGGTCAGGAAGTATAATTATATACAAGATCCTGCACTTCAACTGCAGTTTAACTCAGTGCAGTTTTCAGTGCAAATCCATGGGGTGAAGGTCACCAGTGGAATTGTTTAAATGATCTTCAAGTTCTCCCATGAGCACAGAAAAGTAATTCATCTAATGGTAACTGAATGTGAGTCTAGATGGCCAACATCAGACATTCGCTATTTGAAAATGAAAGATAAGGCACTATTTTCCCCCAAGCAGACAAAGTTTTGATGTGCATGAGAATTTCAAACTGTACATGAAGCAGTGCTTTATATTCATTTTATTTCTAGCAAGCTTATCTCCAAGAAAGAAGTGAAAGTTATGGATATAATTTCAGTTCCATTAGTACATCATGGAAACCTTTTAAATTTGAGAAGTACAAGATAGCTTCCATATAGCATGAAAGAGCTATTTTGCATAGAAATAAAATCCAGGCTACTTTTTTAAATGTGAATGCAAGACAAATGCAGAAATTTGGTTTGTTAGTACAGCTCTGCAGCATCACAGAGATATAGGGACCATTGTACTGGATTTTCTCCATATCATAATATAATTCCTAATATGCTACTTTGCTAATTACTTCTTGGTATTTGAGGATCCTGCATAAGTAGAAGTATTTAATTGTAACTGAGTTTAATGTTTTAAGCTGAGCCAGTTGACTCATTGACTTGATCTGTGGAGGCCAGACAATAAGAAGTGATGTGGTCTTTTAGGAAGCAAGTGCTTTGATTAGAAAGGTGAAAGGTGTGTGTGATGGAATTTGACTAGCATGTCCCTATTGTCATTAAAGGAATCCTCATATGTGACACCCAGAGCAATTTTAGTCAGGGCTACTTGCACATATCAGCATTTGCTAAATTAACGTTATATTCTTCTCTATGAAAATATGTCAGTCAATTTAACTCTTTGCTGGAACTTGCTGAGAATCCAAGACCTCTGTAAGCACCAAAGCAAGCATCCAGTTTCCCAGCCATAGCCAAGCAAATGTCTATTCAAAGCCTTTCAGTAGGACATAATGGCAATCATCCATCTCACAGTTGTTTCCCAACAACTGTCTTTCACAGGAATGCTGCCTCTGATATTGGAGGTAGCATATAGGCATTATGACTTTTACCCATTGAAAGCCTTTTCTTCAAAGACACGCTCCAATTTATGCTTGTTTTCTCTTATTGAACCAGAATTTTGGCAAGTTTGCCATGAACCCTGCCTACTAATTCAAGGAAACCTACATGGGAGGTAGTGGTGAGGATCATTTTGCATGTATGAAGTCTGCTTGACTTTCTAAATTTTGTATTTTGACATGTAAAGATAAGATGGTGAAGTGAAAAGTATCTTGCCTTTTGTTGATTAATGGCATTGGGAACACAAACTGACATTATGTGTACTACTTCTTTATCATCTGAGAAATAAGAGGCTATACCTTAGGTCCAATAATGTTCTTAAGAGCTGTTTTTTGTTGTTTTGTTCTCCAATTTTAATATAATACTGTAGCATGCCATAGTTATAGTTATACATGAACTGTAAATTTGAAGATGGATTTGCAATTACATTAGACTCCAGTCCTGTACAAAGTTCACTGAACTGTGGGAAAGCTTACTTCTGAGTAGTACTACATAGATTTGCACTGTTACACTAGGAATGCCAGCAGAAAGAAAATGGCTCTTTCCAAGATTCATCCAGTGCCTTATAAAACTGTGTAAGTACCACTTTTAAGTGGTTATAGATGGCAATTTAGTGGGAGTTTATGTGACAGAGATTCTTCAGCTGAAGCTCTCTGCCTGATGGGAATAGGCACTGGCCTCATCAAAGGATATCACTCAGGTTAATAATGTAAATAAAACAAAGCAAAGAAGAGGAGACTTTGTTTCTGCTCTCTGTACATTGATGAACAATGCATTCAACTGGCCATAGAAAACTCATCTGGAATCTTGCCACTTGCAGAGGCTTTGTCACTGTCTTTTCCCAATCCAGTAATAACGAAATTCATGTGACTTTCCCCCTCCCTTGTAAAGCACAGAGATTGCATGTCTGAGACAGAAGAAAGCAATAAATTGCTTTCTTGTCTTTTCCTGGTGTCTGGCCTGAATTCTTCTTCCAACTTGGCTCGATGAGGAACATAGCCACAGAATGCATCTATCAAGACAACAAAGCTTCTAATCCAACTTAGGTGTTGATTGTTCTTGGGTTTTGTGCAGCAGATTGTCTTATCTTCCTTTCTGCTGGCTTGTATAGCAACTGGGCACGCGTCGGTCACTGTACCAGGATAAGACAGGATAGTAGTTTCATTGTTGTTGGAAGTTGCCACCCATATATGAATACATTGTCTCATTTCATTCCATGTTGAAAAGTTGAAGGATATCCCTGAAAAACCAAAGCAAAAACATAAACTACACAAAGTGCATGCAAACACATTTTTATCTCCTGTAGTGTTTCCAAAGAACTTGCAGCACTCTTATTTGTTTTGTGGCTAGATTAGAATTGCCTGACATATTGGGAAGTTCTAATGCAAACTCATCTGCTTTGCAGGATGTAGTTATCCTTTGTACTTTGCACCACTCCTTATATTGTGATGCAATGATTGGCTCAAAAAGCATTTTACAATATGCTTTTTGAAAGATAATAAGTGTGCAGTTTGTGAGGGATACATTTTAAATGAAGATTTTTTCCATACAGAATAATGAGTAAAAGAATCAAAGTGGATTTAGTAATAAATATGCATAAAAGTGACATTAACCTGAAGTAGAATGACCTGCTTATCTTGAGGCCAGACCACATTCCATAATATTTCTGCACACCTTGAAAAAGTATTTGGTGGGGCTGGCAATTGCTCTGCTCTAGGAATGCATATACAGACAAAACTT